TTTTTTTTTTTTTTTTTTTTTTTTTTTTTGTGGTGGGGGGGGGGAGAAGAAGCGCTGCTGTTTGAGGTGCGGGACGGGGACGGACGGACTGCCGGTACCGTCAAATCTCACCGCGTTAAAGAATGTGTCCGCGTGCGCTGTAGTGGGTGCACTGACGACCCTCACGCGGCACACACAGAGCCTGCACGGTAAAGAAGCGACGGCGTGAAAATGAATTTGTTCGCTCCCTTTCTTCCTTCCTCCCTAGGTTCCTTCCTGTCTCATTTCCTTCCTCTCCTCCTTCCTCTACTTCAATTCCTCCCTTTCACTCGTGTTTTTTGTTCCTTTATCTTTCCTTCTTTCCTTCCTTTCTTGCTTCCTTTTCCTTCTCTTCCACCACACTTTCACACATCTTTGTTCGTGACTTCATTCTGTCCTTCCTTCCTCTCCCTTCCTTCTTTCCTTTCTCCCTCACTTTCATCCTTCATTCATTCCTTCCTTTTACATTCCCCTTGCTTGCTTCCTCCCAACCCTACTACCTTTATTGCCTCTTTCCTTCCTTCCCCTTACACACAAACTCACTACTCATCTATGTTCATCCATTACTCCTTTCCCTCACTTTCTCTACTTCTTTCCTTCAGTCCTTTTTTACTTCTTTCTTACCATTTCTTGCTTTCACTCACCTTTGTTCAATCGGTTTCTTCTTTCCCTCCTTTCCTATTTTTCCTTCTTTCGTCCTACCTTCCTATTTCTCTCCTCTTTTCCTTCCTTTCTCCCTCCTTTCCTATGCCTAAAAAGCTAATGCCCTGAAACCTTATTTTATATATATATATATATATATATGTTGTTGCGTTTTTTTTTTTGTTTTTTTTTTCTTGCATATACAATATTACAAAGTGCTTTACATTAACAACACCTGTCACAAACACACACACACACAGACCTACACACACACATACATTTATACACTGTTGAACATCAGATCAATTGCACCATCAGTTTCTCCTGTAAGTGACAATGCACTGGAAGCCAGCTGTATCACTACATTTTCTATTCTGTGTGACATCCAATAATACAGTAATCGTATAAGAGAGTGTAAAACCTGTTGGATAATAAAACACCATGACAGCAGCAAGTACACTGAGTAAGTGAGTACGTCAGTAATGGTGGGTGAGGAGGAGCCCAGGGATTTTTTGTCAAGTTGTCCATGCTTGTACATGTAGCGCTTTGATGAGTCTCCTCACTTCTGATTTCTGTTTTCTGTGCTGTTCTCTAATCAGTGAAGCCAAGCGAGGGAATGTAGCAGAGTGTAATCCAATAGGGATTGATTTTAATCAAGATAATGTCCCTGCTTGTCTCATTACAGTTTCAGAGAGGCACGAAATGGGCAAAGATCATTTACTAAACGTGCTGGAGGCCTGTTTGGAGTAAAACCGTTCAGCATGAGCATAACTAGCTACTCAAAGTCATTGTTGTAACTTTGTTTTTACTGTTGCCTTAATCAACAAAATCCACCAAAAGAAACTCACCCGCTAATTGTTCAGGTGAATTAACTGAATAGCAAGAATGGAGAGAGCCTTCCTGTTGCTGATAAGGAGCACAGAGATGTCTGTACAAAGAGCCAACACTGGTTTCATTTAGTTGGGATGTGACATTACGTTGCCATTTCTGCCCACGTAAAAAATATCGCCCTAGAGTGTTGAGTTTGATAGTTGGCCAAGTAAATTTACCCCAGTGGCTTATGCCTGAGCAGCCTCTTGAATAAGGTCAACTTCCAGCTTGGCTGTGTTTTGTGCTGATAGGTGTATGATTCATCGGTGTGAGACCGAGCAGTAATGCACGAAGAAGCGCAACAGTCCTTATTAACATGAACGGAGCGCAGGCGGCCGTTACATTTCAAGGACATGTTCAGATTTTTAAAGTCTGTCTGAATACAAGAGGGAATTTTGTCGCATAAAGACTGTAACTTAGGGCTCATATTAGCTTCAGCTCATGTTTTAGGATTCAGGACTGTAGATTGTATCCCCTGTCACTTATATTAGACTCACTTTTAAGGGATCACTATATACGTAGCACGGCTGCAGTTACATTCGAGGAGAGAAGTCATGTCCTCAGTAATGTTTCTGGGAATTTAGGGTTTTAGTAACCTGAGGAGAGATTTATTCCTGGCAGTGTGGAGAGAGTGTTGAAACAACATTTAGACCTTTGTGTAGGGAAATAAATGGGAACACTTCACTCAGTAATTTCCTCAATTCCTGTAAAAAACAACAACAGTGTAATCTAGCACTCATTAAGGGTTTCCATCTAGCCTCATTAAAATACAGCTATGGAAAATCCCAAAAAAAATAAAACATTTTGGGGACCTCAGTATTTTTCAAATCCTGCACTGCCTCAGAGCCACTATGAAGAGGAGGAACGATTAGAGCGGCCAGTATGTTTTCTAAAGTACGTATATGGGAATGTGAGTATTGTTCTAAGACACTTGAAAAATTAAGATTTAATGGTTTAGCTGCCCAGCTCAGCTCATATAATGTTTCAGCCTTTGCTAAAATGACTGGCATAAATAAAACAAAAATATTATTATTAATATAAATTTTTTTATTACTATATAATATTTATTTGTTATATTTATTTATATAAGTGCTGACTACACACTCATGTCCCGCTGAGATATTTGACTGAAGTACTTTGAAGAGAGAAGCTGTTTAAGCTTTTGAAAAGTAGAATTCTCCTTCACTTTGTAAACTCTTTGTAATATCATTGTTTTTTCCTCTGAAGTGTTGCCACCACGGTCGTGTAGCTCAGGTAAAGTGATTGGATGTAGGGGCTTCATCCTGTTGCCATGGTGAGGATGAACATTTCACAAAGGGACCACATTCACGGGCTCCACAGGTGAACTGTGCGAGTGTGCCTGTGTGCCTGTGTGCCTGTGCGCATGTGTGTGTGTGTGTGTGGCTATTACAGAGTAGTTGTTAACCCTGCATTCACAGCATATTTAATATGTTTACTTTATTTGCTTTAATTCAAAAGAAAAACAAAACAAAGTATGCTTGTCTTAAGGAGTGTTCAGACTGAAGTCAAAGTGAATTTTAGAGGTGGTATGAATATATATAATATCAGTGGAATGGTGCAGCATTGAAATAAAGATTTACACTTATCCCCAAGGTGTGAAGGTAGACATTTCTCTTATCCCACATTTCCTGTCTTCTCTCTTCTGTCAAAATTATTGTTTTTGAAAAAACAGAGACAGGAAGAGGGTTTGATGGAACACCTCAAGTTTGTGGTCAGTTTTGAAATCATTCACACAAAGACACCCACACTATAAACACAGAGTTGGTGCATGTTGTGAAGCAAACCTCTGTGCTGTCAGCGCAGTGACTGCGGATAAACCAAGACTTGAGATTTTAAGTGTGAACTAAAGGAGTCTTCATTGGTCCAGAGTCAGACCTGTGGAAAACATACCGGAGCCTGCATTGAAAACTTTTTTTTTTCAGACCTGATCAGAAAGTAGGACCTGAGGATAATTAGACAACACCACCACTAAGAGCATTTCCATCGGCTAGGGTATCACAAAACAATGTTTACACTTGCATGAGGTAGAAAAGGTGGTTTTACTTACTTTGTGAATAAATCATAACTTACATGAAGCTTCTGCTTCACTGAAAGGACTAAAAATGGTGGCCAAAAAAAACATCAGATCTGTGTAAAGCGACTGTAACTTTCCTCAATCTACTCTTTTAATTTGCATTATGTAAAGTACTTTAAAT